GAAGCATAATATATCACATGCAAATACAAATTCCTTACGATGAATGTTATCATTATGTGTATCTGAAATGTATCAATAAAATCTTTAAAAGTAAAATAGAAAGTAATAGTACCAAGCCTACAATAGTATAGATACTCAAGTGGTCATCATTGTTGTCCCTGTTGTCAGAAGTGTAATATTTTTCTCTGCTAACTGCTGGAATTCCCTCAACAAATCAAACTAAACACTTCCTTCTAATGTCTGATGAGACAACATCAGACACAGTACTCTGCTGTTAGAACTGGTAGAGCCAGTGATTCAACTACCTTTGTGTAAGAATCTCATTTCAACATGAGCATACTGTTTTGTCTAGAGCAACCATCCCAGAAAAATAGTTATACAGAGTCTCTGCACCATCAGCCTAGGTCAGGAGAAGTTCAGGCATTAAGCATAAGGCAAGAACTTTGTCAAGAAGAATGAGATTGCCAATTAGCAGAATAAGACAGGTAAAAGCAAAAGAGAACATTCAAAAGTCTACAGAGCAGGATATGGCTTGAAGAACTAATAGAACCGACCTCTTTCTCCTACAAATAATGTTTTGTAGGGGCCAAGACTGGCCTCTCATTTCATGAACTTGCTATAAAGGAAGAGTCAAAAAGATAAACTAGCCAGGTGTGGTGGTACACACCTGTAATCACAGCACTTGAGAGGCTGAGGCAGGAATTTTATTTCAAGTTCAAGGCCAGCCTACACTACATAGGAGACCTTGTTTCAAAAAAAAACTAAAGAGCCAACCTGAGAGGAATATAAGACATAGAATCCTAGCTTAATTCTTTGTTGCTCATGTCCCTTAAGAATGGATAGAGGTCCAAGTCACACTAATTCTAACAGCTATGTCCAAAATGTTTTCCAACTACATACCATTTGATCACAAGAAAAAGCAGAAAACACTATGCCATTAACTTGATGATTATACTGTCTCTAAGCCATCGTTCTATACACACATCCATGGGATCCATCAGCCTATGTAGTCCAGAAATGAACAAATATAGCAACGGCAGCACAACTACTACCTTGTAAGCTTATTGAGAACTGTAGGAAAACTATATTCTCAATATTACCTGCTGAGACATAGAGATTATTTATATCACCGTGAAGTGTAAAAGCATCCCAGGATGAGGGGGCTATCCAGGCTATTGTAAAAAGCCCATCACCCACATGATGGAAAGGACTCAACTAACCTCAAGGCTGGCCAAGAAGGACTGACTGCAGCAAGCCAGCATATACAATGACAGCATCCTGAGCAGGAGAAATGAGGATGGTCTACAATGAAGAGAGGTTTGGAGATACACACTAACCAGATCCAAGTGGATCAGTGGATCACTGAAGACTACAGAAACACACGGTCAAGATCTACAGTTAAGAATCAGGATCAAAAAGAGAGATGCTGCACTCCACTGGGTGCAATAGACATGTGAGGTTTTTAGCCCACTCTAAGACCTATCTACAAGTATATGCTACCAGAGGACTAGTGCTGGCTGCTGCATAACTGACAGGGAAAGCTGGGGGTTAAAAAACAGTCACCATCCCAGCATTCTGTGGCCATGCCTAAAGGAGGACATGTGTTCCAAGACTGACTCGACATGAGGACAGGATCCAAAATCCAAAATTAAGTGCCTGGGGAGATAACCCAGTATAATAAGTGCTTCCCTGGCAAGAGCAGGGTCCTGAGTTCAATCCCCAGTACCGCCAAAAAAAAAAAAAAAATCCAAAAGAAAACATGGAAGTGGAAGTGAGGGAAGGTGGCAAGAGAGAGGCACAAGCTATGAGGGCAAGGAATAGACTTTTTTTTGTATCTTTTTAAGAGAGCTTCACTGTGTAGCTCAGGCTGGCCTTGAACTCACTTTATATCTCAGGGTAGCCTCAAACTCACAGTGATCTTCCTGCCTCAGTCTCCCAAGTGCTGGGGTTACAGGCATGTGCCACCACACCTAGCAAAGAAACACAGTTCCTATACTGATTAACTCCAAGCTTCCTGAACAAAGCATTCACAGAGCAAGGGAAGTTAAGAGTTCCTGATTTTCAAAGTCTCTTTCAAATTTGTCCTCTCCCCAGCCTAATCAGCAACCCTAACTTCCTTCCTAACTGTTCTACTACATCTCTTTTTATACTGTATATACCTCACCCACTACAAACAACCTCCCTCTCCCTCAGCATGCTACCCTTTCTCAGTAACTGGCACAAACTCCTTCCTGTGAAGACATCCCCTATACCCAGTGTCCATATGTACAGTGGTTGACTTAACCACACTCAACAGGGTCACTCACTAAAAGCCTTTCCCATCTTCCCACCCACCACCCCCAAATATCTCACTCTGGTGCAAGCTCTTTCTCCCTCTCCTCCCACCCCTGTCACTCACAATAACCCCGCACTTCGGATCAAAAGCGAAGGTGCCACAAGTGAGGAGGTGAGAGGCATTGGCAATGACGAGAATCTGGACAAAATTGTGACATTCATCCTGGGGGTCAGAGATGGTTAGAATCAGAAGCAGCAAGTATGCAGAAGGGTAAGCTAGTGTCAAGACAGTTAGCTGCAGCTCTGGGATCAGGGATGATGGGTGATAGCAGAGTGTTAAGAGTTCCTGCCTGAGCCCTTTGTGATGGGAGCAACAGGGAACTGACAGCAAGTCAGGGCTGGGCCAAGGACTCAATGAACATTCCAGACAGGGCCAGGATTTATACCTACCTCTCGCTTGCCTTTCTTCTTACAGTTCTGTCTGTGAGCCTCAGGCACCATCCAGTCAATCTGAGAAAGGAAACACAGTCATTTTCCTAGGAGTCCCTCCACCCTCAACTCCTGAAAGATCAAGGATCAAGGTAGGGTGCAACAGATTCATAATCCCATCAATCTGCAAACTTCTGAGCTCCCCCTAGAGCACTGCTTTCAATCTGGTAGTCACCACCCATTTGTAAGCAACAAAATCAATTGCAGAACCACAAGCAACTTTGTTCTTAATGAAATATAGTAGCACATATCAAACTATAGCACAGAGATTACAATGAGGAGGAACCTTTCTGCAGTACATGTTTGTGTACTGGGACACAAACCTAATAGGTACTTCAAAAAGTTCGAAAGCTGCCTCACTAGACAATGGCAGTTTTCAAAATCCCTCTGCTCACTGTCACCTGAAACCTGGCCACTGTGGTCTCCTCCCCAGGATCAGGTTTCTCCCCAGTAGCCTCCCCAGTCACTATGACCCCCTATAACATCCAGCCCTACCACCACCACAATTATAGCTTTAGTAATGAATCCTTCCACCACAACCCATAAAACTATGAATCTAGCAAACGCTATGAGGACTCATGTCCTCCCACTCTCATCTCTCACCCTGCGGGGTCTCTCCCCTGAGAAGGGCAGAGATAAAGCGAAGATGCTGTCCCGGGCGCCAACATAAAGTGTGTGGGTAGCAGGATCCACAAGGAGAACAGAGTAATTGTACGTATGAGGGACAGCAAACCTGGTGAGATAGGAGTCAGCCTCTGGTAGGAAAAGAGGAGAGGGGAAAATGATATCAGCCACTGATTCATGAGTGCCAGGTCCACAAGGGCAAAGCCAAAGGGGCCAATATTAGTCTTCATCCAAGTACCGTTTATCTGGCAGCCATTAGGGAAAAAAACAGAGGCTTGACAAGCCAATCATCTACACTTCCCCAGAGACAGACAACTGATGAGACTACAATATTTAGCACACAATCCAGTCAAGGATATTTCTTCTATGAAAATTAAATACTATATTAAAATAGCAGCATAAATATTGTCTATAATTTCTGCCCATAGCAATGTAATACATAATTTGAAAATACTTATCAAGGTGCAAGTACTTCCTTAATTTTTTTTCTTTTTGAGACAGAGTTTCACTTTGCAGAGCTGGCTGGCCTCAAACTCACAGCAATCCTGCCTCTCAAGTGCTGGAATTACAGGTGTACGCCACTATACCTGGTCCCTTTGCTAATTTTTTAAAAAATCACTGCTGAATATTATCTTCCTCTTGCTTAGGAAAGCCTTTTCATTCATTGCTTTATTTATGATACTAGGACTCGAACCCAGAACCTTCCCACTAAACTATATCTCCAGCCCCCACCCCATGCCTCTTTCTGTGAGCGCACTAAATTGCTAAACTGCCTCAGGCTAGGCTAGAACTTGTGATCTTCCCAGCTCAGCTGTTCACAGTCCGAGATCACAGGCATATACCAACCATGTCTGGCTGAAATGTTTCTCTTTTACCAACACATCAGGAGTCTATCTCTTCTCTCATCTACAATCCTTGACTTCTTCCCACCCCATTCCATCTACATGTGTTCCAGAAATAGTCCAGCCTCAGGTTAAATATGGTTCTTCCACTTACCAGATGTTTCATCTTGAGAAAGTTACTTGCCCTCCCTGAGTATCTTTCCTCCTCTGGAAACACCACCATCCAGGGTTATTGAGAGAAATTAAATGAGATACATACATAGAAACCCCTGGCACTGAACTGGAAAGGGGGGATACAGAGGAAGGACCATTTGTATTTGTATATGCAGAATAGCTAGGATAGAGGTACGGCTGCTTTCGCTTGGTTCAGTGAGAGGAAGGATTTGTAGTAGTAGTGTTTGGATGGGATGTCCTGGCTGCTTCTTGTGCTGTGGATGACAATGAAGCAATGTATTAAAGAAGATAACAATGTGCAATGTATTAATTATTGAAAATGTCCTATTAATCAGCTTAGAAAGTGTCTCATTGATATGTTTCTCAATAAAACAATAATAAAAAAAAGAAACTCCTGGCATACACTGTGTGTTTTACAAATGGTCCCTTTCTTCCTTAGGCATGCGTTCTGTTTTTGCCAAATGTAAAACTCATATATCAGCATCAAAAAAAAAAATATCTTATCTATTTAAAGATCATACAAGCAACTTTTCATTAATTTACTTTCTTAGCTTAACCTTTGGCTCTGGGAGTTCTACCCCAGCATCAGTACAACTCTGTTTTACCAGTTTCATCTGCTCAGGTGCTCTCAAGACTGGCCACCAGCCCATTCATTCTGAAATATCCTGGCCTAAGTCCCACCTGCCTCATATTCTCACACACTCCCACACACCTTTCCAGCTGTAGTCTTTCTACTCTCTCATGCTTAGTACAAGCTGTGAACTCCCCAGCCTCCTTTTGTGTTTCCAACAGGGCTTCACCTTGCCTTCTAGACCCCTCTTGATTCCTGGACATCAACTCAAACTGGCAATGTTAACTTACTCTGTGGCTACTGCTCCAGTATGAATTGAAACCTCAACCTCTGACCATAACTTAGCCTTCTGGATCCATAACTTCCCTCCACATCACTGGCCTATATATAGACCCTAAATTACTATTGACCAGTTCTGCGAGCTTTTACCAACAGGTTGTATTCTTGGCTTCCCTGGTTCTGTATGCCTAATGCGTTGATACTGAGAAGAAACAAGGTCCACACCACACTCACACCCACCTCAGCAATCTCTAAAATGTGAGTAACCACTCTTAACCTTGAGGCTTCCTTCCCCTGGCTTCTTCCACATCTTTTCAAAGAAACACAACCCTCCCCTCCATTTTATTCTTTCTAAACACTTTCAAAAATCACTTACGCAGCACTTTACATCAACTCAGTGAATGGTTTTCCAATATTTAATATACTAAAAAGGGACAAGTGAACCAGGGAGCCATGAGAAATTTCAGGGGTTAAGATGAATCTGGGAATGGAAGGATGGGAGATGGTGTCAGAGATGGGAGAGGCCTGGGAAGTGGGTTACAAAGATGAATGCCAAGAGGGTTAGGTGGCTGTAGTGATGTTATTGATGATAGGGAAAATTGAGACGATGATGGGCAGGGAGCTGGGGATAGGGGTTCGGATCCAGATAGGCAGTTAGATTAGAAAGAACAGTGTGGCTGAGTAAGTTTCCAAGTGAAGTAACGGACATAGGTGGACGTGAGGGTATTCCAGCAATCCCACTCCCTCCCTAGTCTGCTCTGTAAGGGACTACAGGGCTCCAGAAAAGAGGCTGAGGCAGCAGCCTGGGCGTGTCGCGCAGCCGAGGTGCGAGGCCCAGGCCGGGCATGGGATGCTGCAGCACCGCGCGGGGTTTTCATCCGGGTTCCAGCCGAGCGTGGGCGCCGCGAGACGCTGTGCAGCGCGTTGGGGCGCCCAGGGTGCTGCCGCCGGGTTTGGGGGTGGGGTGGGGATGACACCTGCCGGTGAGGATGAAGGCGAGCGCGTCCGCGCCTTACCAGAGATGGGAAGCGAGATCCTTGGCACGGAACGTGGGACGCGGCCCGACACTGGGCCGCTCAACACCACGAGCAGCAGCAGCAGCAAAGGGAAGGGCAAGGTCAGAGGCGGCCGGGGGCCCGGGCGGGGCCGCGCAGCCCGGGACAGCATCTCTGGCTCCGCCTGGCTGTTGGGTGGGGTGCGTCCAGCCGCCTCAGCTCAGAGCCAGTGAGACGCGGGCCTCGGCCGCACTCGGGTCTCCTCGGCAGAACTCGGCCTGCGCTGCTCGCTGAAACGGCCTCCGCCCCCTCCAAAGGGACCAATGACGGGTCACTGTCTTCCTCAAGCCAATCAGAATTGAGTAGAGGCGGGGCTAAGAGCAGAAGCCCAACCTAGGCAGAGGCGGAGCTAGATACAGGTGTAGGTGGGAGTTGTACTGGAAATTGGGCTGGCGTTGTCACTTAGGAGGGGAGAGTTTACACCTGTAGCTGGAAAACCCCAAATCCCTGTATCTATACCATAGGAGAAAATAAGTCGGTATACTCACCAAATTTCTCAGAATTACTACGATGTGGTGAGCACAACGTAACACACACACACACACACACACACACACACACACACACACACGGCTAAGACACAAAAGGTACTTAAAATTAACTCCGTACCTTTAGGGACTTCACAGTGCGATGAGCTTCCCAAACAAATAACTGTAAATAGATCAGTGCAACAGAAAGCAGTGCATGTTTGCTGTAATAACGTATATCAAAATGGTACATTTTTGTCTGAAAAAGGGTTTCAAAGAAGAGGTAATATCCAAAGCAAGTCTTCAAGGATACATAGGCCTCCGAAGGTGAGGAGAAAATACTGGCTTTGAACAGCACCACTTGAATATCCCTCAGACAGGGCAAATACAGGTCCTGAACTTAACTATCTCTCTCATCCTAATGCCAATTCTTTCTAAAAGCACTTAGTCCTCTAATTTATAGCCTTACAGATAATTTCTGATTTCTCCTCTATCATCCACCTGTATATATGTATGTATTTTTAATGTATTTGGTACAGGCTCTCACTATGCAGCTCCGACTCGTAGTGATCTTCCTGCTTTCAGCCTCCCCAGCGCTGGAATTACATGTGTGCGTCACCACACTGGGAATCAGTGGCCCTGTCAGCACGCCCAGAGGCGGGGTCAGCATGGCATGTTGTGCTGGAGATCAATCCCCGGTCCTTGTGCTTGTCTAAGAAGGCGCTTAGTCTGCTGAGGTATCATGCTGGCGCATTCTCCTCTTTCATTCACTTTTGTATTAGTTCTCTCTGCATAACAAATATAGCTAACTACAAAACTTGGTGGCAATAACATTTATCTTTTACAGCATCTCTGGAGCGGTTTCAGGAGTAGGTTTTTTGTTTTGTTTTGTTTTTTAATATTTAGTACAGGGTCTCATTACACAGATGTGATCCTCCTGTTTTCAACCTCCCAAACTCTGGGATTACAGGTGGGGGCCACCACACCCAGTCTCAGTCGCCATCTCAGCGCACCCCGGTGGCAAGACTGGCATGGCATGCAGGCGATCAAACCTGGGTCCCTGAGTCTGCCTGAGAGGGCGCTTTAATCCGCTGAGCTGTCCGGCTAGAGCTAAGGAGTAGTTTAGCTAAGTGAACTCGTTCTGGTCTTTAATGAGATTACAAGTAAGTATCAAATATGATTACAATCTTCTAAGGACTGACTAGAGCTGGAGATCTACTTCCAATATGTCTACCATGCCTGGCAAATTAGTGCTGGTTGTTGGCAGTTGTTCTCCACATATATTTCATGCTGTTGCTTGAAATGTCCTCACAGCACAAGATGGCTTCCTCAAAGCAAGTTATCCAGAAAGGCAAGGCAAAAACCACACTATCTTTTATCACCTGGCTTCAGGAGTAACATTCAATTGCTGCTGCCACATTCAGTTGGTCACATAACCCAACCTTGTCCTTCCATTACCGTCATAGTTCAGAACTCATGTTTACTTTCAAATGTTAAAATGGGCTGGATGTAGTGGTGCATGCCTATAATCCCAACATTCAGGAGGCTAAGGCAGGAGGATCACCTTGAGTTTGAGGTCATGTACACTTGCTACGTGACTTGCTTCCCCATTGAATGAACATTACCTAAGCAACTATACTTGTAATTTTATTGGTTGATCCACCTTTCATTAGTTTTATTCACCTTGTACCCACCTCGTGATTTTGCTCTGCAAAATTTCCTCTGAAAAGTGGAATCTACAACAACCCTTTCTGGCACCCTATTGTCTCTCTCAATAAAATTTCCCACTCTCGAGGTCTGCCTGTTGTTCCCTAGAATTCATTCTTCGATTTTGGGGAACGTAAACTCTTCAAATCTGACATTTAGTCGGTTGGGAGTCATAATAGTTCCCCTGTATCCTTTGGAGGTCCTCTATCACAGACAAGGCCCAGGCCAGCCCTGTCTGACTGCGTGTATTTCTACCTTACTTAGCTGTCTATAATAAAAAGGAACTGTAGGAATCAACCTCATGGAAGTGAGGAGAAAGAGAGAGGAGAGGAACACACCCTTAGAATGGAAGAATTTGAAAAGAAGGAAAAGAGCCGCTTCAGTGTAGATTCAAATCTCATTTTCCTAAAGTCAAGCGAGAAGGCATTATTTGAGTATCTACTATACCCCAACCCTAGCACAATGTCTGGCACAGGGTGCCCATCACAAATGATTCTTGAATAAAATAGTCAATGAATGATTGTGAAGGGAAGTGTTCAAGCCAAGAAGAGGGCAGGGGAGCTACTAGAATGTCCCGTGCGGGGGATGGGGGTGACTGAGGAGAAAATATCGGATTTAGTACAATATTTCCAAGAGAGATCCAAATAAAGGGCTATTCTCTGGGCGTCTACGGGAGTAGGAGAAGGAGGTAGCCGCCTTAGACGAAGCCTGAAGTGAACACTGCGCGCCAGCCGTTGGGCCCCGCCCACCGCGACCCCTGACGGGGGAGGGGAGCCCGGGTGAGCGCCGCTTGGCCCCGCCCGAAGGGGGAGGGGCGCCCGGCTGAGAACCGCTTGGCCCCGCCCCTAAGGGGAGGGGCGCCCCGGCTGCGGGGAGCCTTCAGCCGGGAGGCGTGCGGGGTCGCGAGCTCATTCCCTCGCGGGCCTGGCCAGTCAGTCAGGTTGGACCCGTGGGCGTCGGATTCCCAGGTGTGGCCCGGAGAAGCCCTGGACAGGTCTCGAGAATGTTACTTCTTTAGTCAGAAGAGGAAAAATAATGAACCCTTAAGGTCACAGAAAATGTTGGGTTTTTTTCTCACCTGAGGAAAAATTTGAAATGTTTAAGGCTTACGAAAACGTATCAAATTATTACTGTTATTATTATCATTATCATTATTATTATTAATGGGAAAAGAGCCCATGAAAAGAAGGCCACTTTTTGTTGGATAGCTTTTGGACTGGTTTGGTTTGCGGTGCTGGGAATAGAAGCCAACGCCGAGCGTGCCGGGCGAGCTCTTAGCCCTGAGCGACGCCCCAGCCCCCCATGGCATTTTAATGGGGCCCTGCCCTGCCCCAGGGAGAGCCTCTGAATCATTTACCGAATGGCGATGCGGCCTCGGGGCTATAAAAGCCTAGTCTAGGTTGGCTAGCTGGGGTGGAGGTGGGGGCTGGGCAAACAGCGTCCTGCCGGGGAGCCCAGCTGCAGGCCAGGGGTGCGCGCGGATCGGAAAGATGACTGGGGTGCGGCGTCAGGGGCTGGTCCGACCGGATTATGGACTGCAGGCAGAGGATTCAGGCAGAACTTCGGGGTCAGGAACAGGACTTCGGGTTTTGTTTCAAGAGCAGTTAGAAGACTTTGAAGGGTTTCAGTAGTGGAGTAACTTGGTTTGTTGGTTCAAGTGCTTGTTTCAGATTTAATCAGTTTTTAGGGTAATAAGTGAATGTTCTTGAGAAAAGTAGAGTGTGGTGGCGCACACCTATAATTCTAGCACTGAAGAGGCTAAGCTAGGAGGATCTCCGTGAATTGGGGGCCAGCTGAATTACATAGAAGACCCTGGTCTCCAAAAAAAGAAAGTTAGATCCTGTTTAATAATATGCCCAGACACCTCAGATGCATTATTTGATGGATCATGCATCTGAGGAGAGCGGGAAGAGAGCAGACCTTTACACTTTTTAGGGGACAATCTTCCAATTGCACTTTAGTGTGGGATTTAAAAATGACTTAGCAAGCTGAAATTGCAAAGATTCTTAATGGGGGAAATTGCACTTGTTTTCTAACTGAAACTATTGTTGAAAGTTTGTTAACTATGTGGTCTAGAGTGTTTAAGGCCATCATGAGCTACATAGTAAGACAGTGTCTCAAAAACCATGTATCCTCCAGAATTTTCACTTTTAACATTATCACCCATTATCACTTTTTGTTTCTTCACTTTACTTTTTTTGGTGGGAGGGTTCCTCATTCAGTAGTTGATTTTTGTAAAATGTCACACATGAATTTATCACAAGAAGACCAGGAAGTAACACAGTTACCCATTTTGCTGTCTGTGCACAAACTGAGTAACATCTGCAGTCACTTAAAGGACTTCAAGAGAAGTGACATAATTGATTATAAATGTTTCTGTCATTTACAAAGTAATTTGTAGGTGGAAGAACAGATGCAGTTTGCACTTTTGGTAATCAAACTCTTGGTATAGGACTATACTAATTACACTGTAATAGTTGACATCTGTATGTGTTGGAAACATACTGAGTGCTACTGTATCTAAAACAACAATTTTCAGATGTAAGGAAAGATGAGCTGGGTAACTACATCAGTCTGTTTCAGATTCAGCTTTCTCTGTAGAAATTGCCTCATGCACTTAAAAATATAGTTAAAAGGTATTTATAGGGCTGAACAAATAGCTCAATTAGGCAGACACAGGGGTCAGAGGTTTGACCCCAGATCTCCAGGCCCACCCCAGGAGCACGTTGAGATGGCAGTTGAGACTGGGTGTGGTGGCACTCACCTGTAATCACAGCTCTTGGGAGGCTGAACACAGGCAGATCACTACAAGTCCAAGCTACATAGTGAGACCTTGTAGACCCTTA